CCTTGTTAACATATTGACCGTGACTCTTGTTGCCTTACACTCTCCGTAGCTACATACTTCTGTGTTAAGTGGAAGCTAAAATGCCGTCGTCTTGGAATGTTTACCTTTCGAACTTACATGTGAATTTGATTTGAAAGATGACATGGTCCTCGTGGAGAACCAACATCATGATTTCACATGGAAGTCCAGTCACTTGCTATTTTAAATTCCAAACTACATAAAATCCCAGAAGAAAAACCCCACACAGACACATAAATAGCAAAAATCTTCAATAGATTTGATTCCTGCATAGGGACGCCAAATAAAATCTCTGCTAGCATTCAAGTAACAAATACATTTAAAATTCACTGGTTGCACTACATCAGCCTGACAGTATTGGCGCGCAGTGGACTGACACCCAGGTTTTGTACTGCACTTTTCCATATGCTCCACGCTGGCAAATTTCCAAATGAACAGATACAACAATGCGCTGCTCTGCTCAGCCCAGCTCGCTGACTCTGCTTGGTCCACCTTTGCCCATCTCCTGCCATTCCCCTCCTGCCCTCCTCCCCATGGAGCCATGCTACCTACACAAGGTTTGTGCTCCTGCCCCAAAGTGAGGAAACGGTTGGAGACATTGTTGGAGACATTCCCCCATAGCGCTATACCCTGCTGCTATACCCTAGCTTTTTCCAGCACACTGACAGAGCAGAAGTGCACGTGCCAGGTTCCTCCTGGTGGGAGGAGAGTAGGTCACAAGCAGCATCTTACACCACGGCCTGCAATGAGGTCAAAGCAGCTCCAGTGGAGGTGGTCAGTCAGTGAGAGACTCTCAATCCCTTAAAGCCTCACTAAACGCCCACGTAAAAGATTTAGTAGTTCTAAGATACTTGTTGGTACAAAGATACGCAAGAGATCATCTGTTAGTACAACACAGAACCACTGTGAAATCAAGGACTTAGACTTGAGTCAAATCCAAGTATTTTTCCCTCCTGTGAGGAAATAATAAAAATGCCCTATCAAGATGGGTTCAAACCTGCCAGCTTTCTCTTGAAGTGCTCTTTCTGGTAAGAGTGGCTTACCAGCAAAGGCGCCTTAATTTCTCTGGGCCTGACTATTCACTGTTTTGCATGCTATGTAACTCGTCACACCGGTGCAAAGTAAGGTTTAAAAAAAACAAGGCTGCCAAAGAAGTGCCTTACATTCCACAGGTGCAATTATTTTACAAATAAAAAGTGAAGACAAGAGTCTGTAGGCGGTGCTTGGAGATTCTTACTATGTTATTATTTTTGAAATCAGAGATATATTACCATTTTAAAGTATTCTGTGCTCAGTAAAACTAAGTAGGGATATTGTTAATGCTTGGACTTTTCTTAAAAATATAGTATCTTCCCTGATGTTTTTTTCCCATTCTGGCATGTTTCTTCTTGTTTCTTTTGTATATGGTGATATTTATGATCTAATTGTCTCTTCCCATGTTAGGGCCTAATTTCTATGGTAGGTGGTCTCTAAAGGCCTTTTAGCTTCCATTCCCATTTTTATGCTAGAAAGCAAAGGAAACAAGCAGCACAAAGCCTTTAACCGTATTTTCTAGGCTATACTATCAATGTATGTTGGTTGTCTTCTTTTGCTAACAGAAAACAGAAAGATACATACGGGGAGGCATATCACTGCTTTTATGCACAGGTTCTTCTAGGATGAACATTTTCAGTTCCAGGAAGAATGTGCAGCAGATGAGGATGAGTTTTGCACGACCTAAGCAAGCACGCTCCCAAAAGGTAAGCTTTATACATGCAGACGTTTGAACCCCCCGTTTAATGGTGTACTTCGTCTTAGAACACAGGTCTTCATTAGCAGACCTCAGTTAATGCCCACGAAACTGAGGAACAGATTTAGATTTGTTTTCTTTTCCTTTAAAAGGGCCCTGAACACCCAACAAAACTCAGTTACTAATGGCTCACCTTTGGGCTGATCGTAAGACTTAGTTGAACCTTTTTGTCTAAGTGGGTTAATTAGGTATTATGTTTTCTCTTTTTCATCTAAATAAAGGTTTTGTAATGTCTAATATTTCAGCTCCTGCAGCTGCTTTCATTATGCAAGTAAAAGATCTCTCTTGTACAGAGCCACCTATTTTCACCAAGTACGTACAAGCTGAACTGGTTTTGAAATTTCCATTCTTCTGTGAAAACCACCTGAAACTGGCCAACAAGCTGGTGACCATTCCCCTTCCCCCGATGACGGGGAGAGAGTGGATGATAGACACGTGTGACTGCATAAACACTGTTCCTTAAGAAACAGCCTTAAAAAAAAAAAATCACTTTTTGGGTCACATGTTAAAGCTCTGTACAATTGGGGGTTTGAGATGTGCTAAAACCTTACACGCTCTGCACAGTACTATTCACTTGAACAGAACTAATCACTCAAATTGCAGAAAGCTAAGTGCTTGTTTAAATCCTCACATGACTGATGACTAATGTTCAGTATTTAAAATCCTGTCCAAAGACAAAGGGACTGATTGTTTCATTTGAGCAGTCAACTTTCTAATTAATCACAGTAATTTAAATCTCTACCGTTTAAAATATCTAACAAGCACGACCTTGCTTCATCAATAGATTCCGCTTTTGTCCTTCTGGAAAACTTTGCATTCTAAATACCAAGCCTTAAAAGTAAAATATTTTCAGTGTGTACATTACTTAAATTCCATGTCTTATGACAGATACAAAACAATGAAAACCAAGATAAAAGCTCAAATTGATGGTGCTCCGTGGATGCTCTTTGTAAGAACTCTTTGGCTTGATCTTAAACATAACGGTCCCTGACTATTTAAGTGGGTATAAAGAATTGCCTGAATATGTCCCAGTGTATGATGCTAGAATAGAATACAAGGTTTAATGCTTCAGCTACTCCAGCAGTTTACCAAACTTTAAAACTAAAAATGCTACGTAGTTTGTATTGCTACATCTCAAAGAGGTACAAAGAGTGACCGTAAGCCTTCTGGGGAAGGCAGCACTTTGTTCTCTTTATAGCAGAACCCCAGCTGGGTTCTGCTTGTGACTGGGATACCCAAGAGATGGCACGCTATGGTGTCAACACTAGATGTTTCATAAGTAACTCAAGAAAAAACCCCTCCGCAGGCTGTGCATCCTCACTATCCCTCTCAAGAAGCCCTTCAAGCTGCTGTAATCCATGCCAGAGCTCCGGCAGCGAGTTACCTTCCCCCCCGCCCCACGCTTCTAACTTCACCCGTTTCGGCACGGGCCGGGCTTCTCTCCCCGGGTGCTGCGCCGGTCACCTGCAGAAGGCGTGCAGGCGCTCGGCCTCCTCCGGGCGGCGCCCGGGCTCCCTCCCGGGGAGAGGCAGCCGCGTTCCTCCTGCGGAGCGGCGGGAAGTCCTGTACGGGCAGATTCAAAAGCAGCAGCATTAAGGCGAGAGAAGCTGGCTTCTGCAAGGGGCACAACGCCTACCCAGCGCTTACGGGGTCTAACGGGACTGCATCCCTTTACAGAAAAAACAGAAAGTGAGGTAATTCTGTGTGCGACGAGAGCAACTTAAAAAAACCCCACAAACCCACAACAAAAAACCCGCAGCAAAACCGAGGAGGGGGGTAAAAGAGGGGGTGACCG